AGTTTCTTGGTACTAATTTACTTCTTTAATGTATAAGGCACAGTGTGAATGCATTCTGTCTGACTTCCGATATACACGGTAAATATATCAAAACGCAAATGAATGGTGGCATGATGTATTTTATTACGTTTGTGGTGACAAAGTTTAAAACACATTCCAAATCATCTATTCATTGACCAGAGACAAAAAGACTGCAATGCAAAACAGCAATACGTATACCAGAGAGCGACCACTGTAGAATGTGCAAAAACTGCAACAACTGCAAAAAAACCATTGCCACTACAATAGATACAGAATCAAAACTACTGCACAAAACTGCAAGAATAAATTGCAGATCTAGTAGAGGGAAAAAACGGAAATAAGTACATCACAGTGCTCTTTGATAAACTACAATTATTACAAGGACGCGCACTTTACAACATAAAACCGGCATACATTAAACAACTAAAATAAGTACTGAGCAAAAAAAACCTACAACGTGTGATCAGGTCTTAATGCCAACATAATTGTGTAAAATGCAAATGTCAGATAAAAAAGAAATGGAAGTTACAGCACTAGCACATGGCAATGTTAACTCAACTGTCCAAATCACAAACCAAATGTATTAAATAGAGGTTTCTATATAAAGCCAGTGAACGTAATGTATCACATGTCCATGCGTCTGCCGAAGCGACCGCGAAAGGCAACTATCGTCAGTCACGATGAAGAGGAATATTAAAGACACTTTCAACGAGTGCAAAGTCAATGCCTGTTACCGCGGAACTGTGTGTTAAACTTCCTGATCAGAACTTGTTGGAAGGCTTGTCTGAAGTCCGTGTTCATCAGTGTGTATATGATGGGGTTGAGCGCGCTGTTGCAGTATCCCAGCCACACGAAGCCCCTGAAGAGCGCGGAGGACACAAGAGACCTGTGCACTGTTCTCACCACGTACGCCACGAAGAACGGGCTCCAGCAGGTGACGAAGGCGCCGGTGACGATACAGATGACAACCGTTAGGCGGCGCTCTTTGCCTTGCATCATCTTCCATCGACGTTCCTTGGCGTCCTGCAGGACTGGGTCTTGCTTGGGCAAGGGCGATCTGGTGGCGGTTACGTCCGTCAGTGTACCCGATGAAATGTTGGGTGGGGAAGGCTGTATGGCTTTACTGTGGAGCGCCTGGGGCGCATGGTGCGACGATGTGCCGTTCTTGTTGTTGTCGACTGGTTTCCCGCTGTTCAGGGCATGTTTTGAGTAGACCGCCGTCAAGTTCTCCGGGCGAAGCTGGACGCCAGGGGTGGCAGGAGGCGTCTCCTGATTGGTTGTTTCAGTTATCGGGTACGAGGAGATCCCCGCTTTCATGCGGTCCTTCCCTCTGCCCTCCTTCCGTCTAGCCTGCGCTTCTCTCCCGTCGACGCCAGGCGGCACCTCCAGACGGTGCACGTTGGTGGACATGGTGGTGGCCGAGTGACGCCCGCTGCGTTTGCGCAGGTTCCTGATGCGGGACCTGGCGGCGATGAAGATGCGCGTGTAGACCACGAGCATGATGGGAAGGGGTCCGAAGAAGGAGCCCACGGTGGAGTACAGCACGTAGCTGAACTTGTCGGTGTAGTCGCAGCGCGGGTACAGGCCCGGCTGGAAACTATCGGTCCCCCAGCCGAGCAGAGGCGGCAGGCAGATGACGGTGGACGCCGTCCACACCATGGCAATCCCGCCGATGGCATGCTTCGTGGTTTTGGTCGCCGTGTACTTCACCGCCTGTAAGGAATGAACATAAACACACTCATGAGGATGACTACAGACGGCCGAGGCTAAACTCGCACTGACAGAGATCCATGCTTCACCCTGTAATACAAAGAGTCAAAGTAGTCTATGATATGTCCATGCACCAGCTACTATATAGGGCAGTTCACTTGATTGAGCTCATTCATGAGATAAGTGTACTTTCAGATTTAATTGTTTGATTTCCATGTATGTTACGTACATGTGTCTTGCATATGTTTGATGTACAGTGTCTCTGTCCAGTCTTGTCGTCATGTTTTTGTCTGAGAAGACCATGTCTAAGAATTCGAAAACAAATTTTCCTTGGTATCATGGGTGGTAGTCTTAGACCAGTTTGATTGAAGTTTTGTTTCAAGCTTCCTGCAATAGCGAAAAGCAGAGATCTTTATTGAACTGCCCCCGTACACGCCTGTGTGAAGGTTAGATTAATTTTCTCTAGATCTCAACATCGCCGACGTGTTTCATAGAAAAGAAGCTTCTCCCGCTCCCTTTTCAATTTGCACAGATTACCTACTTAACTACAAAGCTTTCCATCCCATTAAATCATGCATCTCATGAAAAGCGGTGAAATAAAATGAGGGAAATCAGCCATCTGAATGAAAACCAGGCCGCCCCTAAAGGCAACATGAATAGGATACTTATGAGCCATGCAGATGGCTTAAAACCTTGAATACAATTCTCGTGCCCTGGCCATGTTCAGTAACTCTGTCAGATCTAGCTATGTACAGTTCATGTAAGTCACAGCGCTATCACCTTTATGGTCCTGGGTTCGACTTCTACTCCTTCACAGTCTGTCACCCTTCCATGTAACGTTATAAACTCATTACAACCCACGCCACGTCGATTGCACCCCAGTTTCTGAATGTCGTGCACGGCGCTCGCTGTTTCGTGTCTCGGTCTTATCGGAAATGAGTCGTGACTTTCCTACGCCGATACTTTGCTATAATTCCGATAACCATCGTCGTCTTCTCCCCAGCGCCCATGCTCGTGTGCCTCCACAGGCTTGACATGCCCTGATAAGACGCTGAGCTAAAATCCCATCTCTAATACACGTCTCAGCCAAACCTGACGTGGAATATCAATACTTGAAAAGATTTTGACTCCATAAGTCGACCTTGCAGAATGTCACTCAAAATGTGTACCGGAGCATCAGTCAAGTGGCAGTTCTGAAGATCACCGTTTAAGGCAAGGGTAAACAGGAGAGTTGTGATCACATCATAGCCTCTACCGGGCTCCCTAGCAGGTAGCTAATTTAACCCTCTATCCGGCTAAATCTTCTGGCAAGCCAGTCTAGAAATTGGCTACTTTTCCAGCTACCCGGGGAGCCTGGTAGGGGCTAAGCACTGCATAAAACGCGTATGGAGTTGCATATAAAACAGATAGACTATAGATAAACTATAAGAGTTAGGAGAGAAAATGTAAACCTTTTGTACCTGTGTGATGGCGAAGTGGCGGTCCAGTCCGATGGCGCACAGGTTGAGGATGGACGCGGTGCAGGCGAAGATGTCCAGCGTGACGTGGACGTCACACATGATGCGGCCCAGGGACCAGTAACCCATCAGCTCGTTCACCAGAGCCAGCGGCATGATCAGCCCGCCCACCATCAGATCGCTCGCCGCTAGAGACACCAGGTAGTAGTTCTGGATGGTCTGGAGCACCCGGACCTTCAGCACGGCTACCACCACTAGCGTGTTCCCGATGAGGATGACCAGCATCACCACGGGCATCAGCACCGCAAGGACCCACAGCGTGACGCGGGACACCTCCTCGGGTTGCCCGTAGGGGTCGGCGGCGGGCATCGTGCCGTTTGTTGTTGTTGTCACCGTGAGGTTGGTGTCGTTGAAGACCGTGACGAAATCGACGCTCGGATCGGTCGTCATCTTGGCGCCGCTGGAGAGAACTGTAAGTGCGCTGCGGAGTACGGATGGAGTTATGGGGCTTGTCCAGCAACCAATGGCGCGTTACCATCAGAATGGACCAATAGGAGTTCAGAGAAAGGGACCGTCTTTTTTTTATACCACATTCGTGCTTCAGTCTTTCACGTGGAAGGACGTCACGCGACTCATGACGTTTGGCGGGATCATTTCAAAACGTCGATGTTAATCTTTATGACGTATTCAAGGATTTATCAAGTATTTATAAAACACCTTAAATCCTGTAGCTTCTGGTCTTGCCATTTCAAGCATATCTATGTACCTGTGATTTAAACATACGCGCGTTTGCTTGTGTTATATCTATCGCCACGATAGAAACACATGCAAACATATAATCAAATAATACGTATTTGAAGTGCGAGATACAAGTAATATGTACGGTATCTAGGAACCATAGGGAGCACAGCAGAGTATCATATGTATATGTGGTTGTGTGTGACTGTTGCAAGAATAGTATCATCATAAAATTGACAAAAAAACTGCCATCGAATAGTTGGTCAGGTATAAGGGGTGTTTCGCAACTGTTTCAGTCGAAGTCAAAATGTTTCACTTTTGAATATGTTACTTGTCAGCACTGTCTATTTTACCGTCCAGAGCTGCTGTAGTAAACACATTGTTCAACGAATGTGCCTGAGCCCTACAGATACTTCAATGGTGCGCCCTGCCGAGAATTCAGCACCAAGGACAGGCACGGCAACAACACTGCCAATCAGCACCAAGGACAGGCGCAATACTAGCAACGAAAAAAAATCAGCAGTAAAGACATACACAACAAGAAGGAAAACAATCAGCACCAAGGACAGATACACTAAAAACAATGAAAAGCTTTTCTGTTGTTTACGTAGAGTCGTAGACACATTATATAGACGAACAGATTAGACATTTTCTTAATAGCCGAATAGCCAGATATGCTTTCGGACAGGATTTCACGGAACCGGTTATGTAAGGCCTGGTATGAACGCAAGAGGCTTTAGCCGCCGGTTATTCCGGCTAATAAATTCAGCCGGTTCTGTGAAGTCTGATATGGACGGAATGGGTCTTCGGGCATGAGTTTGGTTGTCCCTATGTGACGATTTATGGTAGATCCCACACGTGCTATAGAACGTGTGGAACTGGTTAATTAGGAAATTCAAAATGTTCGTGCAGCATATACTGTTCCTGTAGCTAGCCTGGGATGTTCCTAACTAATTAGCCCCCCTAGGGGACCTGTCAGTGATAAGGATGTTGTTGGGTCTACTTTGAGATGGCTTTCGGAACTCTCGAGAAACGGGGATGCGAAATATATAATGGTGCAAACATGCTATAAAATGGTTGTATATGTCATACATATTAAACTTTTGTTCACGACAACATTTATGTCAATTTTGGGCCAAACGATATCACTTTCTAAAATGTCAACCTCTCTAGCCGGAATGAGATAGATACATCCTGCTCTTGGCGAAAATTATCCTCCGCTGTAGCTCCAGGGGTCATCATGACAGCAGCCGAGATGTGATTCCAGTCCTGGTGGTTCCCAGCAGGCCACTAAACAGATCCCAGTAGCTAGTAGCTATACAGAAGAAGCTTAGCGAAACGGGGGGAAAGGTTGTCTCATTGCACGATCAATTTGACGACTGCTAATACGTGTATTGTACAATATACACGTCTATCTACAAGGTACGACTATAGTAAATGAAATAAACGTTTGAAAAAAGTCTAGTAAGTCGACCTTTACACCATTATCATTCTTATGTATCTTATTTATTGGTTTATTTGTATCAACAACAACATATCTCGCAGCCTTGTTTTTTCAGGGCTGAATTCCGATGTTTGTTTACAACATAAATCATTAATCAACAGTAGGGTAATACAAATTACAATCATGTCGGAATCTACAGATTGATATAATGGGCTATTCCAAAAAATAAAGGAGAATGGGGGGCGGAAGAGGTCGGACTGGACAGGGGGGTGGGCCAATTCCTGGACTGGACAGGGGGGTTGGGTCAAACAGATCTGCAATTTATATCACTTTGGTTCAACGAATTTAGATATTTACAAGAATGCCTTTTTTTATAGAAGAACTTTATTGCACGACAATTGTACAGGGTACATTGTATGGCAAATAGGTAACAATAAGTAGCATAGTAAAATAGATAGGTATAGAATAAAACTTAACAACTTATATATAGAAAAGAAATAATCAAAAGTTAGCTTAGGCTTTACAATCAGGCGGAGTTATCTATGGGTAGCAAATCAGTATTCTTTCTAATAACAAAACAGCTTTTTATGCATTTACCTATTTTTGCATTGTGTGGGCTGTTGCATTTAAATATATAATCAAATCTATCTAAATTTTATATCAGTCATCTGGCAGCCAGATGAGTTCCTTGGCCTATGCCCTATGGGTATGCACAGCTATCGTCCACCAAATATATATATCATTTATCAAAGCAATTCAAGTAATGAGTCAGCCCGCTTGTAAGTCCTGGGGGCTGGGAGATAGGCATTACTAGTCGATATAACCTATCCATTGTCATTGAAATTAAGATTGAGGCGAAGCTACAGATATCAAATGAAGCTTGGAAGATTGGCTATTTGGTGGGTTTTAGTGTTAGAAAATGAGAATATAATGAAAGCCATCAGGGAGCCAAAAATCTAATCATTTCCAGGTATCATCAAGACCTACCCACCTATCAAGTTTCATGACAATCCGTCCATAGCTTCTTGAGTTATGCTGTTTACCGTAGGACGGACGGACGGACAGACAGACAGACAGACAGACAGACAGAAAACGCTACTGAAAACATCACCTTACATCACATTACAAATGCTTCTGGTACGTTCTTTTTATCTATTTAATGAGGGATGGGAAAAGTGCTTATAAAAGCCCTTTCCTCGTGAGCACGTATGCTACTTTCTTTCATAATCTGGTCATCTACAGTATTAAACTGTCTATAGCAATAAATCAGAAAATTGTTTGAAGGGGAAGTTTTGCTAAATTGAATACAATCTACACACGCACACATGTTCACGAGGAAAGCCCGACCGTCGGTGTTTGCCAAGGTGGATCCGTGCAGCGTAGCTCTTACGTCAAAGCCCGCATTATCAGCGTAAGGTACCCCCATCAGGTTATAAGTTATCTTTGCAAAACGGTTACACAGGGTAGAAGAGCTCAATACTGAAGACATATGCATTTCCTAGCTTGATAGCGATGAGTTTTTTTATTTCTATTTTTTATTTAAATCGTGAATGCAGAGCCGTCCTTAGAGGGAGCAAGAACGTCACATACACGTAGAATTCTACTCGGGCTTTGGAAGGGCCATGAAAAGTAATTCTCCTGAGCCTCGGGGGAAGCAGATTGTTGCCATGATTCTTTGTGCTTCAGTTCTACTTTGCCAGCTATCGCGTGTACAGTCTTCTAAGGGCTGAGGACAAGAACCTATGTGAAGTCTCTAATGATGAAGGGGATGAGCCAGATGGTTTTCTGCAGCTGCCTTTCCCTTTGCTTACGGTTAAGTTCACAATCGGTAATTGCCAATTACTGCAGCAGGTTACCGGAGCCCGGCGGCCAGAGTCTGTCAAGCGGTTCTGTGTAGTGTACGGTTCGCGGAGCGCACGCCATTCTACCTGCAGTGCAGCTTAAGTCAACCCAGGACGCAACTCATGCGTGATTCCCATGGTATCTGATTTTTTTAGTCCAGTGCCCTGGAGATCAAAGAAAATGTCACCACTGGGAAATGCACAGCACGGTACAGACTTTACAGTAATCTGACGATGCTGCACAGATTCAGATCTTTCAGCATACAGTAAAGCATGCGCAAGGGTTCAATTTTTCCGTTAGAGAACCTTTACGCACGCTGAAAAGTGTACCGAAAGATGGAAAAATATTATGCAGTGAGAGGTTAATCCA